GACCTTCCGGCTTGTAGCATAGCCCCTCAACCAACTACGCTACTGCGTACCCCCATTCCCTGAAGGAGAGAAAATTTAAATTTCAGCTGGAAAGAGAGCATTACCACTATATCCTTACCCATGGGACGATCACTTCAAACTTTTATACAAATCATTTTAAGTTGGTACACAATAAAACCATAACGGCAACTTCTATTTTTTAGTTAATTTTCGCCGATCCTAACAGAGCTAAAGTGGGAAGACATAGTTTGCAGAAGTTTTATTTCCAACTGGAACCCTCAAATGGTTTTGATCATGTACTGTATACAAAAAGGGTAGGGATAGCTCAATCTGTAGAGCGATGAGTTGGATGGCTTGGGTTCTATTCCTAGCAGAGGCAAGATTTTTCTCTTCTCCATAGCTTCCAGACGGGCTCTGTTCGCCACCCAGCCTCCTATCCAACGGGTACCGGCTGTATCCCCGAAGGTAAAGCGACAGGGGCGTTAAGCTCACCACTTATCCAACTTTTCCAAAATAGTGTAACTATACATTCACTCCCGCATACGTCTTAATGGCGTCGTGCTTAATTAATTAAACACAGGCACAACTTAACATTTTTACATTTTACTGCATTTCGTTCTGCACATTATAAATGGAAACATCAACACAGCTATTTAACATTCCATATGTTTTTGTACTGCTACATATTTCGACCGTGACTGCTGGGCCATTTTGAAGTGGCACAATACGCAAAAGCATCAATTTATTGAATTGTCATGCCTACATCCCTGAGTTTCGTGTGCACTCATGAGCATTTTCGGAACCTACCTTGCGAAAAACTTGTGACAGCCTAGCCTTTCATTATTATTTTTTTTATTGCTAGTGGGGTGGGACTAAGTCCCTTGTACTGCGGCCACTTCTGGCCTATTGTACCAACCCAAGATGATAGGTGAGGGTGATTGTGGCGCAATTGGTGGAATGAAGATTGGCAGGGGAAACCGAAGTACTCGGAGAAAACCTGCCCCAGCACCACTTTGCCCATAATAAATCCCACTTGACCAGACCCGGGATCGAACCCGGGCCGCCGCGGTGGGAAGACAGCGACTAACCGCTTGTGCTATGGGGCGGCCAAAAAGCCTAGCCTAACTGCGATAGTCTAGTAGAGAACGGTGCGTGAAATTTGTGGAAATTCACATGAAAGTTCTGAAATTGTGAAACACCGTCTTTCAAACATTTTTTGGCCAACACTTTGAACAAGATAGTCACTCAGTAAAGATGACCAGCCATTTCGCCCATATCTGAATATACTACACCATTTTCTACAGTTCCTACAGTACATTACATTTTGGCCATAAGCCGCGCGTAATTTACGATGAATTTCTATAGCACTCGTGTTTTTAGCACGAAGAAAGCGGACAACAGCGCGAATTTCATAGCTGGCGGGATTATCAATCACAAGACACATCGTAACTCACTCTGTACAGACAAGAACAAACACTAGGTGACCAGTTATGTGATGATTTACAAGGCAGTGAGCCATGTGACGCTACCTCGCATGCGCGAGCTTCCCCCGCTCCCACATTAATTGCCTAAAATAAACGGTGGTTACTTTGCGATTAGCCCTGTACACACAATCAGAGCTGTATATATATATATATATATACACACACACATAATTTTATATTATATTTCATTAATCTTTATTTTCTGCACATTCTAATATATTGCATATTACGTGTATACTTTACCAATTAACAGATCTCTAGCAAAATTCACCAGGCACCCAAATGCGAATATAAGAACGAGGGATTCAAATTCTGCAGAATATACGTAGCAATGACAATTCAATAAGCTGATGTTTTTACGTATTGTCCCACTGAAGATGATACAGCAAACAGGGCAGAAAAATAGAGTGAAAAAGCGCAAAACATTAGCAGTATCATAAATATTTCCAAATCCACTTCTGACAAAGCTAATTAATTACCAATATACTCATTCACTACACAGCACGGCCTCAGCGGCATCAATTAGTTAAATATGCTTCGGGCAAAAAAACTTCAAACCAAGAGCCATACGCATTAATTAGATATATACTTTACGGCATGTACCAATTGTCTGCACGAGCTGTTCACAAACACACTCAATGAAGTCTAATTCTTGCTTCACGTAAAACCGAAATGAAATTCGTTCAACAACTTCCATCACAGCTACAATGAAAAGTAATTGATATGACAGGCGAGTGTCGGTATAACCCCTTGAACCATATACAACCTGTTCTCCAGTTTCTGCAGGTTTAAGTATACAATCCTAAGGCCGTGCCATAGCTCAAACGGTTAGTCGCTGGCTTTCCTCCGCGGCGGCCCGGGTTCGATCCCGGGTCTTGTCAAGCGGGATTTTGGGTGGACAAAGTGGCGCTGGGGCAGGTTTTCTCCGAGTACTTCGGTTTCCCCTGCCAATCTTCATTCCACCAATTGCTTCACAATCACCCTCACCTATGATCTGGGGCTGGTACATTAGGCCAGAAGTGGCCGCAGTACAAGGGACTTAGCCCCACCCCACTAGCAATAAAAACAGTATACAATCCTCTTTACAGACAGGACGCTACACAACTTCTGATCTTCAATAACCAGTCAAAGACAGAGGAATTTTCTAACATACGTAGTTGACAGCAGACCGCCTCTGTGGTCTAGTGGTCAGAGTTCCTGGCTACAGAACCAGAGGTTCCGGGGTAGATGCCTGGCGCTACCAGATTTTCTGAGAAGTAGTGTGTCTGGAACGGGGTCCACTCAGTGCCGTGAGGATAATTGAGAAGCTATCAAGGAAATAGAGGCTCCGGTCTAGAAAACCGAGATTAACGTCCGTGGGGGACCGTTGCGCTGACAACGTGACACCCTCTATCCGCAAAAGTTGGTAATAACTTCGCCGACAAGCGGTGGTCGCTCGGTCGGTATAGTTCGCTTGTGGACTACATGCCACGGAGTTTTTGTTTTTGTAGTTGATAGCTAGATTAAAGGTAAAGTTAAAAGACATCAGCTTATCAACGAAGGGGCGGAGGTTCAGTCCCAGAACAATCCGTGTGCAATTTGTGGTGCATGAGGTGCAGGTTTCCTTTGAGCCAGCACTGCGATTCTTCCTTGTGCCACACATGCATCCGCAGCTGCCTTCGTCACCATCATGCTACAAGGAACTCCGTCTCACCACTCACAAAAACAAAATAAAACACAAATCACGCCACCAGACGTTTGGGTTAAGTTTATACGAGCGTATTTTTTACGTTGCCCCACATGTTACCGCCTTACGAGACTGTTCCATACCAGATACGCCTATCGCTGAATTGTGAACTCGGTCTACAGGTTCAAGAATCGTTCACTCACTGACAAATTCTGCCGGCTACAGAACGTCTGGACATCAGCTGCTTTCATGGCATTGAACTATCTGTGGGCAGGGGCCGAAACAGTCCAGTTCGTAGGACTAACAGAGTATACGTGTATATCTACCTACCAAGGAGTCCTATGACAATTATAATTATTTATTTTTAAATATATTATCTGACCTAATTTTATAAAGGCTGTTTCACAAAATAAAAATAAAGGTAAAAAGTAGTTCTCCCTGGCCCCTTTCCATTCTTCTAGATGAACCTGGGTACGCGACATTCTCCTTCTACACAGAGGAGAAGCGCTGTTTGCTCTGTGACATTATTTCATTTAATAGAAAAACGGACTTTACACAATTATTACTTTAACTGCATTCCATTTACACTTACTAAGGAAGAAAGAAGCAACACAGACCAATAATATATTCGGAATATAAACCAGTTAAGCCAATTACTCTGGATAGGCATTCTGCTGAGACATTAAGAGACACCAAAAAATCGGCGCCTATTTATATCAAGGATGAACGAAGTTCCCATGTGCGTAAATTATGATTTCATATATTTCTAAACAGGCCGCCTAAGTTCCTGCCTAGAGATCCAGAGGTCCCGGGTTCGATTAGGGGTGCTACCACATTTTCTGAGTAGTGGGCCTCGAACGGGTACCACTCAGCCTCGTGGAGATAACTGACGAGCTATTTCAAGGAAATAGCGAATCCGGTCTAGAAAACCGAGATTAACGGCCATGGCGATCCGTTGCGCTGACCACGCGACACCCTCTATCCGCAAAAGTTGGCACTCACTTCGCCGACAAGCGGCGGTCGTTCGGTCGGTATAGTTCGCTTGCGGATTACAGGCCACGGAGTTATATTTCTAAACAACGTCAAAATCTTCATTTACTGCAGACACAAACAAATGCATTAATAAGATTTTAGTCCGAGAATGTAAAGAGTAAATTCTACTTCGAAGAACGAGGCGTAGATGGGAGGATCATATCGAAACGGACAAAAACAGAAAAGCCAGGTATGCCGATGTCATGAACTAACTCATCAAATATGGATCAAACTTGTAATTTACATGTTCACTGGGCAAGTGGTAAGGGACTGTAACGTCGACAGGAAATGGAAGACAGTGTTTAAGAAACATGTATGAAATATATATACAGAAAAGAGAATAAAAATAAGAAAATTTGATTTTGGGGGAACAAAATTGTTTTAAGTCAGTGATAAAAGTAAGTAAGGTAAAGCTATCCCTGTAGCAGGCCGTGGAGGCCCATAGGGTTGTGAGATGTTGGGGGTCCCACATTTTCTTGACAGTCGGGTCAGAGATGGGGGTAGGGTTGCCAGCCTTACGCACCGGCAGCCCTTGAGTTCCAAGATTATTTCTGGTACTAATTTCTACTAGAGGCTGAGTCGACCCCAGGGCCACAGTACGGCTGGAAGGATTAGATCAATTGAAAAAATCCACCTCATCGGGACGGCAATAAGCGAAACGTACCCGGCCTTCACAAACTATGCAAAAACATTTCATCACGGTTTAGCCGTGGCAGGAAGCTGAAAGTCTGTAAAATTAGAAACATTATCATATGTTTTCGGCAATTGTTTAAACAATGCACAATTTTATTTTGGGAATAAAATAAACATAATTTTTGGATAGATCAGTCTTTATTCTTTCATTAACATATAACTCTCAATACAATATACACCACAGGTCTTGAGTTATCAGCGGTTACGTAAGGAGGTTGCACAAGCGTTACACTTTCTGTTACTTACGGAAAATTGTTACATTTTCTGTTACAAACGGTTTCATTCCATTTGCACCTTAGTAAAACAACGTTTTCAAAGTTAAAAAGGGCCATCTCTTGGCTTATTCTTTCACCCTGAAGACGGAGGCAATATGTTCCTCCGAAATGTGGGCTGACGTTCAACGAATCACACGGCGTTATATCCCAGAAGACAGTTATCTTCAGGACAATCTTAATTTGTAATCATCACAGAACACTATTAGGGTGATCAAATCACGGAAGATGAGATGGGTGGGTTATGTAGCACACAAAGAGAAGACGAGATATATATCCAAACATCTGGCTGGAAAACCTGATGGAAAGAAACCACATGGTACATCTATGCATTGGAGGACGCTGTTAAACGGGATCTTAATGAAACAGGGTGTCATGATGTAGACTTAATTCATCTTTTTCAGGTTGGGAACCAGTGACAGGCTCCTATGAACAGTAAAAAGGTGAGTTTCTTCACTAGCTAAGCGACTATTAGCTTGAAGAAAGCAGTCTTCTGGGATTTGGCACCGTGTATATGTGGTGTTAACCGACGTTTCGGAGGAACGTATCGCCTCCATCTTCAGGGCAGAAGAAAAAGACTCAGTCTGCTTTTANTCTCTGCTCTCACATAGCTGTGTATATTTCCACACAGTCTGCTTTTACCGGTTCTCACGGTCTCTTCGCTTGCAGATTTCTTATATTTTTTCTTCTACCCTGAAGATGGAGGCGATACGTTCCTCTGAAACGTCGGTTAACACCACATATACACGGTGCCAAATCCCAGAAGACTGCTTTCTTCATAGTCACCGCCGTGAAAGCCTCAAATCTTACACAGACTATTAGCTTCTTAAGAAGGACACCGATTCGTAAAGCTAGGTACGTCCTGTGTATATAAAATGATATGTAAAGGTAAAAGAAGTTGTCCCTGTGCTTAACTAGTTAAACACTACACCCAGAAGGCGTCTGGGGGAATGGACGTACAGATCCACGTTTTCTTGACCTCGTCATTAGTTGGAGGTCAGTAATTAGCTTCACTCCCCGGCCGTTTTACCCCTGGCAAAAGAGTCCTCAGTATTAATTGGACAGGAGGCTGAGTGTGCCCCAAAGCTGGTCTGGACGACATGAAGAAACAAAAATTCTTGACCCTACCGGGACTAGAACTCGGACCCTACGGTCGTGCAGCCCGTAACCAGTCGCTATACCGACTACGCTCTCCCGGTTCCATAAAATGATAGGCACATACGGAAAAATCACACTGTGAATATTAATACATAAAAGAGGCAACAAGAAGATAGAAGTTGTAAACAAAATGCCACTTATCAAACAGCAGGTAAATTATGCAATATAATGATATAGAAAACAAACAGATGGACTAAAGAACTTACCAAAAGCAATAATGAAGGATGAATTACAATATTTTCCATAAGTATAACATTCCAGCAATATACTGTTCTTATTCATAATTAAAAAAGGTAACACGACATGCAGAGTAACTAACATCAGTTATAACAAAACAGCAATTATGTAATTATGGATTCTACTTTCTGTACACAAAAATAATCATATTTTCACAATAATAGCCCTTCAACTTCTTTCGGTTTATTCAAAACGTGATGACTGCTACAACTGTTTACATATCTGGATATACAAGGGTTGGGATCTTCAGTTTGGGTTTCGATGTAACAGATCAACTGGGAGTATAATTAGAAAGTACACTAGCTTTCCACAGACTTCAAGAATGCCTATGATTCAGTTACGAGGGAAGTATTGTACAATATTCTCATAGAATTTTGGGAACCCATGAAACTAGTTAGGCAGATCAAAATGTGTTTAAATGAAATCTACAGTAAAGTCCATATTTTTTTTTCCTTGGCACTACAGCCCCAGTGGGCCTAGGCCTACCTCCATGAACTCCGTTCACTTCGGTTTTTCTAGATCTTACACATACGGTAGGACGCCTGGGGCGAGTGATCAGTTCGTCGCAAGGCCTCTACCTGTAGACAAACACAGAAAAACGCACACACACATCCATGCCCTGAGTGGGATTCGAACCCACGATCCCGGCTTCCGAGCGAGCGAAGACAGTGCATGCCTTAGACCGCTCGGCTACCGGTAAAGTCCATATACATGTAGATAAACGTTGTCTGATAAGTTTCATATCCAAAACGGTCAAAATCAAGGTGCTTTGTAACGCCACTGCTTTTCAACTTTGCTTCATAATATGCCATTAGGAAGGTCCAGGAAAACCAGGTGGGACTTAAATAGAATGAGGCATAACAGATGCTGGTCTATGCTGCTGTTGTAAATCTCTTGGGAGATAACATAGATACAATAAAGAAAAACATAGAAAGTCTAAGTGAAGCCAGTAAGGAGGTTGGTCTAGAAGTTAATGTAGAGAAATTAAGTATATATTGATGTCTCACCACCAGAATGCAGGGCAACATCATGTCATAAAGACAGCTAACAGATTTTGAAAATGTGGCACAGATCAAATAGTTGGGAAGTACAGTTTCAAATCAAAACCTGATTCAGGAGGAACTGAATTCGGGTAATGCTTGCTAAAATTCAGTGCAGAACCCTTTTCTTCTCATCAGGTGTCTAAAAACATAAAAATAAAAGACAACAATTTTGCTTGTGGTTCTGGCTGTGTGAAAGCTGGTCCGTAAGTAAGGAACACGGACTGAAGGTGTCTGAGAACAGAGTGTTTGAGGACACAGCATAACGAATAGCTTCACAACTTTTGCTTTTAGCCAAGTATAATCTGAATAATCATGTGAATGAGGATGAGATGGGCATGGAGAGATGAGGAATGCATATAAGATTTTTGTGGGAGAGCCAGAAGGGAAGAGACCACTGGGAAGATCAAGATGTAGGTGGGTTGATAATATTAAGATGTATCACAGAGAGACAGGATGGGGTGGTACGGACTGGACTGATCTGGCTAAGGACAGAGATCAGTGGAGGGTTTTTGTGACCACGGTGATAAACCTGCAGGTTCCATAAAATGTTGGGAAATTCTTGAGTAGCTGCACAACTTTCGGCTTCTCAAGAAGGGCTAAACTCCACGGAGTTAGTTATCCATCTATACAAGGGTATAAATCATCATTATTCCAGACACATGAAACACACACATTAATAATTAATCACTCATCACGATCTTGCCAATGAAACTGTCACGCACTATGCTCAGGGTTATGTTTCGAGACGTGTCCATCCTCTAATATGATAAAGGAATACATTCTTTCTGAAAATGAACTTGTTCCCATCCTCAGGTGAATGGGCGGGGAGGCACTTACTCAGCTGGGTCTGTTCAACAGAGCTGATCTCATTTACTGGACCATGATCCTAAAAACAGATCCAGTCTTTAAACCACTCTGTTCCTTTATTACATTAGATGATGGGCAAAGTCCACAAACTCAGTAATTGTGAGTGTAAGGCAACAATGCTAGAACCATTTAAAATGGACCAAATACTATACTTTACAATAAGCTAGTTGAGGCAGAACAGTATGTAGTTGTCGTTCTACGCTTGGGTTCTATCAAGATGGGCTGAACATTAACACAAACTTTTCCACATTCTTCACTTGTGACAAAGTCCGAGAGTTTCCTAGGGATATAAGAAAGACACCACAACACACAGCACATATTGTATTTGTTGGCTACCATCTTCATTATCAATATTGTAATTCCCTCATCAGAAGGAGATACAATATTGCCTTTTCATCACTAACACTTCAGACTGGTAAAAACCAGTCTAGCCTGATCCAATTCAGAATTAACTTCTGAAAATATAATATTTTTACATATTTGATAAAACACCTATAATGGGGGATCAACCCAACATATGTCATCTATCCACACAGGACAAAACATATACAGCAAAAATGTGCATATACAGACATGCCTTAAGTGGGAGCCACACCAACAGCCCATCATTCCTACAGAAACCGGTATAACAGCATCTTGGGTAATCTTACTACATAAGTTGAAAATTATGCTGTAATAGAACATATGTTACTCCAGCATACACAACAATCATTTTGATTTTGGGGTTGGAGCAAAAAAAAGGGAAGTGTGACAGTAAAGTCCACAATCAAATCTGGTTTGAATTCTTTTTATTTCCTATCTGCACAACACTGGAAGGGTATATAATATATTCCAACATATGAATATATGAGTATTACACTCTTCTATGCAATGTTCATTATCACACGTTCAGCATCAGTCAAAATACATGGTGGTGTTTGATGCTGAAATTTAAAACATACCTATTCGAGGTTGGTGCTACAAAATCTGGAACAACTTCTTCAGCTCTACCATGAGCTGCCAGTCTGTCTTGACCAAGTCATCCCGGAAGTAATCCTTGCACGCATCTATTGACTGGCGACTGATCTGCAATTCAAGAAGTAACATGGTCACTGTAGCGTGGCTTGTTGATCCATGAACCCTTTACTTCAAAAGTCAGAATACATCAACCCTCACCTAAGATTGCTGTACAACCACCATCATTCCTGGGCCTTCCACGTAATCTAGGAGTCTTAAAGCTTCATGACTAATGACCCAGTTTCTGAATGGTCTAATGTTTAGAGCTCACTGACAGGTAAGGCAGCCTAGTGAGCAGAATACTACTGCCAAATGTTTTCAGAATCTTGAAACTTTCTTTTATTATATAACAGCAAAATGTGGCTGAAGAAGCTATTTATTTTTGCTGTAAACACAATATATTTCAGAGAGATATTTTTATATGATATAGCAGATGTTATTTACTTTCACCACCATTGAACTGTGGCCCACAGGATTAAAACATACAGTCCAGTGATTAGGATCAAAGCATTGTATTCAAGGTGTTTCAGGGTCAATCAAAACCACTGTAACTAATACTGAAATTATACACATAATCAGAATTGTCAGTCAGTATAATGACAATCAACTGATCTGAAGAAAGCGGAGTAGTAAACCCAATACAATAGAAAATGTCAGATACAACCCGAAATAACATTATTTAAAAAGATACCTGCATCTGTTAGTTTTAGTCTGCATGTGTCCTACTCGCTCTGATATTATCCTGACTTGGACTAATTCCACACAGCTAGGTCTGTAGAGAGTGTTTCACATACCATTTACCCTTAGAATGGAAAAGAAAGCTCGGTAACCATAATGTAAGCCAAGCACCTGGAACAGGCTCCAAACCAACCACTCTTCTAGCCCAAAAAAGTATTCTCTTGTGACACGCAAATCTGCTATCATGCACTCTCTTTCATAAAACAAAACATAACCTTATATCTAGTACATGGGGTATGACACACAGAGGATGTCTTAATTACACAACTTAAATGTAAGGATAGGCAAACAACAACAGCTTCATTAGCGAGATATGGTAACAAAAAGCATGAGGAGAGAAAAGTAGACGAAGTAGTTGTGGATAAGGAGTTTATTGGCTGTGAACAGAATGGCATTTGGACAGTTACTAGCAGCGATGAAGCGATGCTGAAACGATATACCGTTACAGTCAATGCATACCTATGCCCTGTCGAGCCAAGAATTTCTGGTCCATTGAAAGACATCAGGCATGTTGCATTTTGTTATTCCAGAAGCTTTAATGGCATTTCATAGATCGTTCCTAGTGTTACATCGCTGAGCGTAAACGATGTCCTCCAGATGGGCCCACAGGTAAAGACGGCAGGAATGAGGTCGGGTGAGCGCGGAGGCCACACAACCGGTCCGTTTCGTCATATCCATTTACCTGTGTAGTGGCTGCCTTCCCGAGACCAATGAGCAGTACCGACAAAATATGACGCGTTGCTAATAGTATGTCGTCCAGTAGTTGCTGTAACTGCTCAGATAGAAACTGTAAATAGGAGGTTACTGACAGTCGAGACGGCGGCTGATAAGGATTTAGGTGGAGATTTCAAACAGCAAACTGCTTTTGGAATCGTGACCGGAATGTGCATTTTTATCAGCTTACGTGTGTGGTGGTTACGAGTGTTCAAAATCCCTTTCAGTGTGAAGCATACTTCATTCATCAGCGGCAGGTGTATCCTGCTGCAGCAGCCCTCCACAGAACGCTTTTCGAAGCTCATAATCCAGCGACGGTTTCCAGAGTTTGAGCATGTTGTACGTGGAACGGATACAACAGCCCATCATGCAGTGCCCTCACCACCGTTCGTTGGGAAATGAGGTGACGACGGGCCAACCACCTGATACAATTAGGTGATCATTTTACGGCACGCGTAATATCTTCCACATCGGCGCTCCTGCGACTTTGTTCCAGAAAAAAATGTCTTGCGATTTCGATACCTTCGGTGCGGCTATCTCGTATCTGTCAATGAATACTCAGCGTTCTGCTCTGTGCTTCGATATGTAACGTGCCTACTCTAATGAACACCACATCAGAACCTCAACAGCAATGACCTCGTACGAGCCTGTACATTGAACGATTACTTTAACTGCTCTGCGCTGCTGCCTCGTAGTTGCCATATGCAATCTTCTTCCCAACGAAACCGTTGCTACCATATATCTACATGAACGCTTCTGCTTGTCTGTAAGTGTAGAACACGATGCTCATATTTAAGGTACATGACGAGTTATATTTTCTGGCTAGATTCATTTTATTATTGTCCACCCACCTCCGTCTTGTTATTCCTACTGGTCTCCTTCCTTCTGGCTTTCCCTCCAATATCCTATATGCATTCTTCCTCTCTCCATTCGTGCTACATGCCCTGCCCACCTCACCCTCCTTGACTTGATTATAATTTGAGAAGAGTACAAGTTATGAAGCTCCTCATTATGCAGTTTTCTCCAACCTCCCGTCACTCCATCTCTCTTCGGTCCAAATATTCTCCTCAGCACCTCGTTCTTGTAGCGACTATACGGCGTTACATCCCTGAACCGCCGCTGTAACAACCTCGAGTCCTACATGTTGTGGTAGGTTTAACAGACAGTTTGGCGACAACATGTAGACACTGCAGTAGCACCAACTTTCTTATCTTATTGGCGCGGCAGTATCTGCAGGCAGTTACGGGAGATCGCGATATCCAGATTGTTACACGTTAGCAGGAAACAGACTTATCGGCGCTAAAAATACTGTTTTCCATATTCGGCGGCTGCTCGGTCGGTAGAGTTCGCTTGCGGACCAAAGCCACGGAGGTTTTGTTTTGTTCTTTAACAGAACAAATGCTCTATATTTAGCAAATATTTTTAATATTACTATTTATTCTAGCATTATCCTTGTTATTAAAGCATCCGTCANTCGCGGGGAGGAGCTGCAACTCCTCCCCGCGACTGCATCCGTTCTGCGGTGGTATGACTCACGGCAAATTGCAGCCGCGGCGCGCACTTGATTGTACGCACTGTATGTTTCTTACTAAAAGTGCAACTTTAATACTTTACGATGTTAAAAATTATAAAATGTCATTAAGACATTAAAAGTGATCATCAAATTACTAAAATGCCTTTAGCTTTAGTTCTTCTCACTTTACAACACGTTTCGGCCGCACATAGGCCATCATCAGGCAGTTTTTCTTTTGTTTTCGGGAAGACCACTGCCCAGTACACCTGAATGTGCTACTCAACAAGACCTGTGAGTATCTGACTAAAAAATTGGGGCACTGTTGCAGCGAACCACTAAACTCATCTTTAAGTTGTGCATCGTAAATCTGTGTGAGTTATCATGGAAAGAATGATCAGTTCTGAGAAAATGTACGTTCCACATCACGTGGTATCAGCGCTGCACACATGTAATAAGTGGTATCACCGATACACACACGAGATGTCGCACGTCTTCAAACCGTTTATTCTTACTGAACCACAAGCGGAATTTCTGTTTTACTGTATCAGCTTCCGAGTCGTTGGTTTTGTTCTGTTTATCTTGAATGTCTATACATAATACTCTTCAATGTCGTTGATTTTCTTTCATTGTTTATGACAACAAATTTGTGGTCTTTTCCAGCTTCGTCAAAACTGCGACAGGTTTGGATGAATGCAGACCAATCATTTTCTGTTACCTCAAATTATTTTGAATCAATGATTTTTTTTTTGCAATATTGCAGTGCAGGGAGCACTGTTTCTATTGAGTTCATTTACCACAGAACAGAAGACTTAAAAGTTTTCTGCACAAGACCAGATTCCTCAACTTGTAACTACTGGAGTGGGTGGCTGGTGTGCCCAGAGCTTTGTTCTTAAAGAACTCTTATTTCATCTGGCGATTTTACAAAGACTTTCTTCCCATTAGCCACCACTTAGACTGCAGCTAGATAAAGTACACGACTTGTTTCACAGACCCTGTGCAATCATGCGCTAAACACGTAACACGTATCAGTTTCCAGAAGCTTACTGGAAGTGCTGCTGGTTTTCCCTTTCATGTAGAGTGCAGCACATGTAACTAACAACAACATGCTGTCAGATTTCAAACTATATTCCTGCATAGTCTGCACAGCTTCACTGAAAACACGTGCTACTCGTGTGCTTCACTACCGACATTTCCTCGTATGACAGAAGAAATGCCTAATGTTACAGGTTGGGACGTTTTCCAAACACCCCAACAGCAACATCTGCAATTTTCATTCCATTTGCTTCGCTTCTCACATGTATGAACATTCAAATATTTTCTTTCTCGCACGATACTCGACTCATGTTCGTCTTCATACCACTTAAGCTTCAGCTGTCTGGCGGATCTGTCTACGTACTGGTGTACTTGCTCAAAGCAAAAACTGTGAAGCCAGAGAAACAGCCGCTGCAAGATAATAATAGAAAACCTGTTTTCTGTGCGGTCCTAGCCGAAGGATTATAAAAAGGACAAAGAAGATAGTTTCAGTCAGTTCTCTCTTAGATAGGACTGGACTGATCTGAATTAGGACAGGGACCGGTGGAGGGCTCTTGTGAACACGGTAATGAACCTTCCGGTTCCATAACATTCTGGGAAGCTCCTGAGTAGCTGTACAACTGGTGGCTTCAGAAGAAGGGCTCAGCTCCATGAGTGATGATGTACACTTAATATTTCCTGCACTATTTCACCAAGCTTTGGTGAGGCTACACTGCGCCTCCAGGTACATGGTATCACTACAGTAAACAGAAGCTGCGATCTGTCTCGATACTTGCGCGGGGATCTGAGGAAATCCCAAACATTTCGGATGAAGTCGTGATCAGAATTCGGACGGCCCGGGCTTCATATCTAGAGCACGAGATCAGGTATCCTAAAAGGGATAATTTTCGCGTTCTCTTTGTTTTATCGAAAAACATCACGACAGTGTGTACCTTAAAAATGTCATGACGACTTGCTTCCACATCCCACCAATCATTCTGCTACTCAACACTATATGTCAAGAAGTTGATAAGACATCTTTCAATAAGCCAAGAATCAATTAAGGTTGTATTTAAACATTTTGTTGCATTAA